CGCTTCATTGTAATTGATTGGCGTTCAATCATTCAACCAATGTTCAAATTGATGATCCGAATGAGTGATAATTGAGCACAATGGGTACAGGCCTATAGGGGTGCTTATCCGTAGTACAATTCAGCTCATGCCTGGAAGCTCATTAGAGTTCTTGGGATTAATTAATAACTATTATAATTGAAGTATTTCGTGGAAAGGTTGCTTATAATCACAAAACTCTATCTGCGCATGGACAGAGACTGACATATATATATATATATATATGTCTTATTCAAGAGTGGTTATCTGATCGGTGGTCTTGCTATATACAGAAGAGATCACTTTACGTGTTCAAACTTCAGTGGTTGTGTATGCGATTATGTGAGAGTGAGAGTCGTGTTGAGTTGGAGTCTTCATGTTTGTTTATTATTTCATTTTCTGTGTGTGTTGGAACACTGGAAAAAGGAAGACTTTTGAAAGGCAAATTAAGGCTAAAATGCAAAAGACCCAATAAGCAATCGTTGCTGTGGAACTGCAATTAGATATATTCAGCTTCTATATATAGCACATTAGTCTTTGTGATATGATTTTTTAATTTTACTTCTATTGGTGAATATGCAGAGTTTATCTATAAGCTCCTTGACTTCTATTGAACGTTTGGATCATTTTTCCAAACACAAGCAAATCGATGTCTTGAAGTATCAATCATGCACCAAGCAAGTAAGCAGAGATGACAAATGAACAAATTAAATTGGAAATTAGTCTTGCTTTAAGATAGCAACAAGGTCAGTATCCACAACCAATTGATGCTTACAAATACTTCTTTCAAACATTCCATTAATGTCTTGTTACTGAGTACGTCATGAAGATGAAGCCGATAGAGAGGAAGTCTAAGCGTTTAATTTACATGCTTTGAAGCAAAGTTCAAAATATCGCAACATATCGATATATATATATATCATATATGATATATATGGAACCCATTCAAATGACATTCAGAGGAATTTGGGGGTCTTCATGTATATCATTAGAACCCCTCCTATCTTACTTAACCTTGAAAGTTCATCCTTAAAAAGTAAAAAAGAAAGAATATTTTACCAAAATCCAGTTTTTGTGTTTTCCACATATAAATACTTTGAACCATGCTTCAAATTAGCTGAGCCCCATTTTTGATCTGCATCTATCAATTCTTTAATTACTCAGTCATGTTTCATTAAGGCCAACTTAAACTCGTATAAATGAACCTCTTCCAAATGAAAAAGGAGAATTACTATGTCGGGCTTGAAGTAAAGATTGATAACATCTTTCTTTATTCGACAAAGTTTATCAGCAATTCCAATTTCATTATCTTAATGGAAAGGGCTTGAAAGGGATGTTTTCAACAACTAGAGAATGAGAAAACAGTAAAGACTAACCCCTTTGATTTTGACAGAAAGATTTTTATTTTCTTATATTCGTATTTAATAATTTTTTTTTTTATTTTATTCCATTGAATCATCATATAGTTAATGATTTTTCTGATTTAGTAAATAAAATACTTGTAATTGGAGCAAGAGAAATGACAGGCATATTCGGTTGATTCTTCTATGCCCCTAAACATTTTATTATATGACTATTTTACCCACTTAAAAACTAAGTGATAGCTCGTTCAAACAGGCCCTAAGTGATCTTACATAGTGATGGTGAATTATTAAAATACCCTCAAATGTTCAGTTGTAGTGATTCTGATCATGGTATATGATACCGGAAATACATGATATCCGAAAATTTTGTGACTAGTCAATTAGTCTCATAAGTGTGTTAACCTTATTAAAATCCATGGAAGGGTTTTGATTGGTCAAAACTCTTCTGGTGCGATGTCTTTCAGATTTTCCCTTACATATTTGCCCGCTTTTGAAATAGCATAAGAAGGTTCTGAATCAGAAAAGTTCAGGTAAATTTATGATTCCTTTCCTTAATCTACATATATGGAATTGGGATTTTCTGACAATAAAACACGTTTTAATCCTCTACATACCAACATCATCTCACACCGCACATCTCAACTTAAGACAAAGACCCACCATAAAAGTGGGACCGCCATGTATGAGATGTAAGGTTCGGTCTCGTGTAAATGGAGGTGAAATATGCCATGCCCGATGGCATAGCATTGGACTAATATGTGAAACCACGGCCTTGGGATGCATTTTGTGGTTTCACTCTATGGTTCTATCATCACTTCATTCAATTCAAAGTAGAGCTACATCCATAATACCTTGAATGAACTTTTGCTCAACGCTACGCCAACTGGTGTAGCAGATATTTCCCCATGTAAATCAGGTACCCGATTTTAAGATTTTACACTGCATTAGGCCCAGGTTTTTCATCTGAGCCCATTCAAATTTTGACAAAACTCCAGTCCAAGCCCGCTTAAGTTGCACAGTGTAAATGCATATTAGAATTTCTTGTGATCCATGGCTCATTCATTCTCCATAAACATATTCAGGAGGCATTTCGAAGCCCTAGAATTCCAGTCGGATTGATTAGATGGTATCTTTGAGTAAGAGCCTACGCTGTATCAAGTACAATTTTTTTTTTGTTCAGTCCACTCCAGAAATCCAAGCCTTACTGTACACATGGGATGAATCTTAACTGTGGATCATGCCAAATTCACACGTAGGATGCAATTTATAAGTGGGATTACTAATAGAGTATGAGGGGTCTGTAATTTCAGATATCTGAGATGAGTGCAGTCTACTTATCCCTAAGTTTTTAACTTCGTACAGTCATTTGGGAGGAATTTCACACAGCCGCTTTAGACCCCATCAGACAACTTAAAAGCTATGTTTAGTGAAAATCTTGGAAAGCCCAAAGTAACTATCTTAAAGCTCAAAAGCATGGATTTATGATGAAGTTTCATCTGGTGGCTTATCCAGAACAGCTTAGTGAAAGCTCTTCAAGTAAGCCCTAAAATCTCAGAATGACTAGTGTTAGAAGAAGGATTCAGTCCCATAGCATGAAAAAATGTTGAGGGCTCATATCCCGTCTATTCCTCCCAAGACCCAAGATAGCTAGGACCATTATCGGGTAATGGCCATTTATATTTTTCATTGTTAAAACCATCCTTCCATTTTGGATATAATATTATGGCTTTGACCCAGAGATCTGCTGCTTGCACCATTATGTATCACCTTCTACATAACTAATCAAAATGCAGACAGACGACAGTGTTTTATACACTCGGGGCGTACTGAACATTGGCGTATTCGTGATTGATTACATAGTGAGTGATACATAGTACAGATCCGGATTCATGCTTTCTTTTATTTTATTTTATTTATTTTTTATAAGAAGGGACCATTTTGCTTCGGATTGCAAAATTTAGGCCCAGAATTTACCTCAATATCACTGAGAGATATGCCAATCAAACGGAAACAAAAGAAAAAGTGTATAAAGTTGAAACTAATCCAATTATTAAAATGGTTGGTCCATGTGCAATCTGATCAGTTTTTCACCAGTTGAAGTAAAAATATAATTCTAGTAAAGCTAGCATTCATTTAAGTGGATTTCCATTTTGGCCCTTCAATTCTCAGTACATTAAACATTATTCATGAGTGAATTAGGGCCTATTGACAGCAAATATATAATCCTGGTTAGTAGTAGCATGAGCTAAATAAAGAAATTAGTCAAAAACCCATTTCTTGGTAACCAATAAGCTTGTAGCTTAATTACTAATCAAATCAGTATTGAGAGACACTGACCCTCATCCACGGACAGTACTCTATTTGTTATATTTGGTTGAATATTAGTTTACTGAGAAAACTTAACAAGTAGGTGTTGAAAGTCGGGGTGTTGGGTGTTTGGTACAGTAATGATGAGGTCCATTTGTTTGTAGGAGTGCAAATCGAGGTCCAATCTTAAAATTTGGAGTTAAGGCCCGAGCCTGAGGTCAAATATGATTTTTCCAATTTGGGTGTAACCGGGCATTGTAATTTGATGCATGTATGTATGATATATATAGTTGGGTTGGGCTTGAAAATAAAAAAATCCAATTGCTTGAGCCCGAGGATAAAAAATCCAACTGGATTGGTTCGGGTTCGGGCTGCTCCTATCCAAGTTGCACCCCTATTTGTGTGAATAAATCTCGAGCCTTCATGTGCCTTTGAATGAAATGTTCAAAGGATTCACTGATGAATCCAAAACAGAATATTTTGATCGATGAATCCAATTTGTATTGACCAACTCAAAATATTTTGATCGATTTGTATTGACCGGTTCAAAATATTTTGATCGATGAATCCAAAACAGAATGGCAACACAACGTGTACCAAACACTTCCTGAATCTATGAACAAGTCTTTTATTACTTCAGAGTTGTTTTGAAGTCTTAATAAATAAAAACACGGCCAGCCCGGGTCAAGTTTTGGTCGACCTTGTCCCATGTCTTCTAAAAACACATCCTCCTTTATGCAGTGCATTTTTGCTGTTCTCTGCCTTATTTTCAACTCATCTCCGACCATCTGGACCGTGGGAACCGAGTACAGTTATTGGTCCGGTCACACTACAAGTTCTAATTGGATTAGATTGGCCCAGAAAAAAACCTCTAAATCTGGGCCAAATTGGCTTGAACCTTGAATCGAGCTCAAAATATAGCGTTAGGGCAGAGCCGTCTAAAAACGTAAAAGGTAAAAGCAGCTAACCGTCCTGGTTCTCGATATTGTGTTCTTGGCTTCAGGCTTCTTGCTGGACATCGTACAACCCCAGAATTCTCAGTCAACTAATCCACATTCGTTGCTCAACTTGCATAAGACCAGCAATGCAGCAGAAGTGCAGAGCTGCCAGACACAACTTTTGTTTTCCTGCTGTCTCTCTATGCCACAAGTGGAGTGTACAAAACCGCTTGTCAGGATTTTCTTCTGAATGAGACACACCATGCAAGCACCAAGATAGGCTTCAACCCGTAAAAGTTCAGAAATTTTAGTTTGAGAGAGAGAGAGAGAGAAGAGAAAGAAAATGAAGAAGATTTCCTGTAACTGCTCGGACATGAAGGTGAAAGCGGAGTTCTTGAAGGTTCTTCAGAAAGTAGATTTGAAGCGGCCACTGGTAAGGAAATATCTATACTTTAATTCCTTTTATATTATTAGTTAAGGTTAGTGCTATCTATCTCCACCCGCTCGCCCACTCTGTATAGAGCGAAGGAATGCTTGATCGCAAGACCAGGCGCCTGGGCTTACGTTTTCTAACCATTCTTTTGGTTAATTTGGTTCTCTGTTGAAAGGTCTGTTATTTAAAATGTATTAAATGAAAAGATAAACTGGGGTTTCTAAACCATGTCTGTTAGAGAAGGATTCTTCTTCTTCTTTTTGAAATGACTGTCATAGTGAGTGTAGTAGATCGAGCTTGTCTGATATTCTACAGTACCCCCCCCCCCCCAAAAAAAAAAAAAAAAGATGATAAATGACATTCAACCATGGAAAATATACAATAGTTGATACAAAGGTCTGCCATCAGAAGCTACCTGAACACCAGCCCAAGAGTTAAATCATGTCAGGTATGGGCCTCATTTAGGGTCACCCTTTGTAGGTTCTATTACCGTTGTTGTTGTCTCCTTGGAGGCTATATATTATGCTTTTAAAAAACGTTTTTTTTTGGGAAAATGAATAATAATTTATGAAAAATGCAAAGCATTAATTCATTAGTTAGTCTGTCAGCCTTAAAAATTGCATCTTCTACCATTTATGTGGAATATTCTAAATACCCAGTTTCTTTTCTAAGTTTTTTTTTTCAAGGATATTCGCTTCCATAGATTTAACTAGGATATAAAATTCAATGTTTTTGAATCAAAAGCAGGCCGTTTGTTTCCTCAGGCTTTAAGTCAAGTTAAATGTCAACTTTGGTTTTCTAAGTAGTGGATATTCTTCTATAGTTCACCACTTTTGCAACATAATGTCTACTTTTTAATCTTGCAGATGATCCCACCAGCATTTCTCAAACACCTCGAAGAAGAATCATCTGAAGTAGTGATTTTAGAAGGTCCTAGTGGTGGTCTGTGGAATATCAAATTAAACAGAATATATGATGGCATGTATCTTGAACATGGTTGGGAAACTTTCTTAACAGACCACTCCTTAAGCGCTGGAGATCTCTTGGTTTTCTCATACAAGGGTCATTTGCATTTCACTGTAACAATATTTGATAGAAGGGCATGTTGGCGTGAGGATTCATTTACTGTGAAACCTTCACAAGAATCGAGCAACACCCATGAAGTAAAGAGGCGTGGTAGGCCACCCGAGACCTTGGAAAGAGCAAAACATGGTGAAAACCGCAAAGCTCTTATTGATATCAATCCCCCATCTCAACCTTCCGAGACACATCAGACAAGAGGTTTGCCTAAACAAAAGCAGCCTGATCAATTGCCTTCATCTAAAGGTAGGAACTTATCCAGCTGGCAGTCTGATTCTTGGAATTTTCATTTCAAAGGGGTAAATTCCCTTTATGTTTGCATGAATGATAGCAATTGATTGGAGGTTTTAGCTAAGGTGGTGTATAAAAAAAAAAAAAAAAAAAAACTATTATTCATGGTTTTTAAAACTGACCGGAGATCAAACCGGTCGGGGTCTGGTTACCAGGTTGAATGGTCTGACCATTTGAATCAAATGGTCAGCCCGTTCTGACAAAAAATAAAAAAAAATAAAAAACAGTCAAAACCGTTCAAATGATTAACCGCCCGATTCAGTGGTTTGCTGACCAAAATCAATGGTTTTTTAAGAGAATCCAGTTTTAGGGGAAAACAGAACCGGTCACTTGACTGGTTCCCGGTTTGACCGTCTAATCCAGTCTGATTTAAAAAACCATGCTATTATTCAGATTTGAAATTTGAAAAAAAAGTAGAAATAAAAAAGGCTCTAAAACGATAAGATTGTTTGAATTGGAGCAATTTGAAATTGTGAAGTTTAATATATTACCTCTACAAATAAACTGGTTGATAATATTAAAAAAATAACATTATTATTATTATTATTATTATTATTCGTCACCTAGAAATGTGTCTAATTTCGATTAGACGCAAGACCATGTCTAACCACGCTCAGACATTTTTCCATGGTTAGATGTGAGATCATATCAAACGTCTCCAATATTGTTGCTAGCTATTCATTTTATGTATTTGCCACTGATGGTTTACATTTCTTTCTTTATTTTTTTTAATTATTCGGTGGTAAGGAAAAAGAGTTAGGGTATCAAAGCCTATTGAAGTGAATCAAATTGCAAGGAGACCAGCAAAAGAAGCAGTTGCCGAATTCACCTCCAGGCTACCCTTTTTTGTGATCGAGTTACAAACTCACAATGTGAACAGGCCATTTTATGTGGTGAGTTTACATCCTACTTTTGCTATATATGACATTAATCAATATAATCTAAACTGCCTAGCAAATTTATTCGATTCAGAGTAAATTTGCACTCGGGTTCATTTTTGTCTATATTTGGTAATATTACATTTTTACATTAACAAATGACAAAAAATACATTTTCCAATGTATATTTACATCCGTAATAAGATGTAAAAATATATCAATAAAAAAGAAATAAATTTGCATTCAAGTGGGCTTCTGATAAAAAAAAATGCTTTATTAAAACCATTTTATACTATATATTTGCATTAACACTTATTTACATCATTTCTAAAAACAGCCTAATGTAAAGTGTTATTTTCTTTTTAGAAAAAAAAAAACTTCTAATTAATAGACATGTAATGCTAGAATTCAAAAAATATGAACTATTGTATTATCATCTTACCAAGTCTGGTTTTAGGACACTAATGGAATTCTAATCTGTCCATGTGTTCAGGCAAAACTGGTCAGAACACAAAGGACTAGTTACCTCACTTTTCTTCTTCTTTTCAAGGGTTCTGTTGTTGATTTATGGTTGAACAATTCTAAGGCTATACGTGCCTATGTATCTTATGTGCTTTAATTGTTTTGTAGAATGTACCATCTTGGTTTTCAAGGTCCTATCTTCCCAAAAAAGAAACAAAGATAGTCCTGCAAGATGCCAAGGAGAACAGTTGGATTGTCAACCATCGCAAGTTCACATCAAGAGATACTTTATATGGAGGCTGGGCTAAATTCTGCCAGGAGAACAACCTCAAGAAAGGAGATTATTGTGTTTTTGAGCTTGTGGGTGAGCTTCAACTGCGAGTGTATATTTTTCCAGTTCACTGAAGAAGCAACAATAACTTATATATTTCTCATCGTTGTCGTACTCTACAGTACAAGTTAGACCAGTAGACCCTTAAAAAAATCTTTATAGAGGGAGAGAGATCAATGGAACTTCTATTTGGTATCTTGGTTTTTAATACTAATTAATTAGAGGATTATGCATTTAAGTATTTTGCTTTCTGTTATTCATTTCAGACTTTCTCTAATCGTTCTCTATATCATAAAAATGTTTTGCTTTTTGAATTTGATATCTATCCCCATAAAAGCGGCAAGAGAGAGAGAGATTAGAAATGCAAATTTGAAAGGTTAATCAATAGGAACAAGGATATATGGCAAGCTCGATTGCTGCTCAACCACTGTGACCCAATTAACTTTTTCAATTCACTGGTTCTTACAGAGGTTAACTGCAAAATGTTCTTCATCTTGTCTGTGCCAGAAGTAATTAGTTGCCTCTATCCATCGAGAGTGAACCAGATGCTTCTTATGTTTAACAGCCCACCGGGCCTCTTCTGTGCCAGTGTCTGCTGAGACCACGTGTGTAACAGATTGATCAAGTTCAGTATAACATCTGGCTCCTAATTGCTCTGCCATCTTCCAAAGCTGGTGATTCTTCGCATGAAATTTGGTTGGAAATACACTGCTGAAGACTATTTTACACCCTTGCAGAACTTCTAGCCTCATCATTCTCAGCACCTACAAATACCCACAACAGAAAATGATCTGTGATTTGAGTTTTGCAAACCAAATTCATATCATACACATCAAGCACCAGAGATGATAAAAAATATGTTTTGAGGACAATTCATGTTGAGACATTATTTAAATGCATGGTCATATCCAAATAGAACATTATCACTTTTGGATCCACACGGAACATATCCAAATAGAACATCATCACCCTCCCTCTTTTCTTGAAAAGTTAACTAAATTCTATGGGTTTTTTCCAACACAAACCATGTTTATATTGTTCAATCAAACCCCAACCAATAAGGAACGAACTTATGCATTCAAATAATATGTAAATTTAATGATGGGGATGATAATAAATTAAATGATTTCATAATTTGTGCTCCGTGTTTTAAAAGTGCCAAGCGCAAAAAAGTGCAAGGAGCAAATAAGCAAGGTGAGGCACACCCCTTTTTGAAGGCATAAAAATACAGAAAATGTAAAAAAAAAATAAAAAAATACAAGAAAAGAAGAAATATTAAAATAATATTAATAAAAAATATAAACTTAAATTATAAATTAAATGTTTTAAAAAACCTATTATCTAAAATTAAAATATATAAATATGACATGTAAAGTGTATTCAAATAAAAATTTTAAAAATAAAATCAAACATAAAAAACATTTTCAAGCATGTAAAACCCACAATCTCTTTCTTTCCTCAATTGCATTATTTCAAATAGTTAATGTGATGTGAAACATCTTGCATTCCAAATTTTATGAGTCATGTTTGTCTCAAGCACCTTGAGGTAAGGTAAGTCCAAACAAGTCCATGTTAGGGTCTTGAATTCTTAATCCCTACAAGAAAAAATGATTTTATAATTTTAATTGCCTTTTAAGAAGATATTTTATTAGGATGAATGAATGAACAACATTAGCAAATAGGGAATAGAGCCCCCAACCCAATTGGCTAGTATTGGTCATACCCAAACAACTGACTAGTATTAGCCAATACCTTGATTACATGCATAAAGGCCATTATCTTACCCAATATTGGTCCTTGCTATCCAGGATCTTGGGTGGGGTGGACAGGGTATGGATCTATCATCCAGCATTGTTTGCACAAAGTGGTCACTCTCAGATCAACATGTGTTCTCACACTCGTCAGCCCAAGATTTTACCATTGCACTAAGAAATGGCTCCATTTGTGTTTTGATTTATGTATTTGACTTACACATTTTCTTTTTTATACCTTAACAAAAGTTTTAACAAGATTCTTGGTTAACACAATCAACAAGGTAAAATAATTTTTTTTGAAGAAAAAATAAAATTTATCAGAGAAAAAGAGAAATTACAATAAAGGTTACTAGGAGTCAACCAAGAGGAAGAAAACCACCATACACCCTTACACAACCTGAATCCGCCCCATCAATAAAACAAGTAAAATTCATAGTTTCACACCAATAACAAAAACTCTTCAAACCTAAAAAATTGAAGACATCCACCCATATCCAAACAAAATCTCACAACACAATAACAACCTCTGGCCTGCAAACCAATACCGAAATGGGGACCGAGTAGACAGCCTACAACCAACACCATCAAAACCTAACACACAGATACACCCCAACACCACTTCGCAAGACTACAAATTAAACATGATGTGGCACTTTGCTCTTATGCACTTTCTTTGTTTTTTTCACCTTCACAATAGACCCAACCCCAAATAAACCCCCTTTCAAGCTGACAAATTTTTGAAACCTGAACTGTATGATGTTTTTTTTTTTTGGATTTTTGAACCGGCCATTCGGAATCTTTTTTAAATTTTCAAAATCTTATTGTTCTCCAACTCCAAGACAGCATTCTTCTCAAAGTCAGGTCTGCAAACTCCTCTCCGAATTCTTTATCTAGCTCCCATCATCTCCCACTTCCCTCAATCTGTCATAGCATCTTCTACCCTTAAATTGCAAACATTCTCTTTAGAGACCCCACCTCTGTCTCTTGAGCATTACTTTGCTCCTCCAATTCTCTAAACACTTTACTCGCAAAATTCTCTTTAGGGCCCAAGCTAGTTCAATGTTTACACTATTATTCTACCAGACCGGCCGACAACGCATCAGCACCAAGTAAAAGAGTTTAGAATAAGGAGAAATAGAAGGTGTCAGTATGACAAACAGACCGGCTGCCTCACTCATCAACCCGACATTAATCAATTTCGAGAAGGGCGTGTGTTCCATAACATCAACCTCCTCAATATCCCTACCGATGCCCTGCATTTTCACTTTTGTCCTCAGCTTTTGGAGCTCAATCAGTAGAGGCGAACCTCCAAGACAACACATGAAGAAGAATTTCTCCTTCTAGTGCTTCACTGACGAGGGTGTCCCGACCAACAACTTGATGCACTGCCGAGCCAAGAAATAATAGTACCCCTACTGGTGGTGCTTCAGTTGAAGAAAATAGGTAACCATCCCCAAGGTAATCTCAAGGTCATGGATGAAGCAATAGGAAAGAAGGCCGATCAAACACATAAAAGAGTTTGGCATTAATTGGACAGGCAGTACCCGATACCACTTGAACACCTCGATGAGTCCCTCACACAGTGGAAATCTCAGCCCGACTATCAAGCTATGCTCATACACATAGAGTTCGCTTGGCTGAGCATCTGTGGGCCTCTCACCAGTTGCCAGGCACCTAATTTTGTACCACTCGGGAATACAATACAAGTCTTGGATCTGGGCTATGTCCCCGGGCATCAAACAACATGACGTGGTCCCAAATTGATGGCCAGCTCACGGAGGAAGCTCGACCTCCCTAGTCGATGGCCCCGCCTCAGCCTCTTCGGCCACAGTGACCCACTTAGGATCAACTGCCACAAACTCCTCGGCCTCGGCTCCTTGACCGTTGGCCTCATGGGTATTGAGCGCATTAACCTCGACAAGAGACCTTGGCTCGGACTCAGGACGAGAAGAAAAGGAAGCATAGGAAGAAAAAGTGGAAGAATGGAAAGAGTCAGAAGACGAGGAAGACATCTTACCGAACTTTGAAGTTTTTGACCGTGAAACAGAAGCAACACTGAGCTGAAGACTATCTCTTGCCGAGCTCTAAGTGCACCTCCTTCCCAAATGACATAGTAAAAATGCTCTTCACCCCCTTTTATAGGGCCCTTGATGATCTAGATCAACGACGTAGAATAAACGCCACCCTCTGATAGCTTGAGAAGACGAAACGACGCCACTACCCTTTGCATTCGTGTAGCCTCGGGAAGCGAAATGATGCCTTTACCGACCCGTCTCAGAAATGGTATGAGGCTCAAGCCGACCGATTCAACCCCGAGCCGGTCAACCCAGATAACACGTTCAACTAGCTTCAAATTCAAGTTCCTCGCTCGAGAACCTGATAGCTCTTCCACACCACACCACGACCGAGCACTACACTCCTCGACTTCGGAACTAGGGGAGTGGTGTTTGGGTTATGGTTGAGTTGGCCTCGAGTGCCATTTGTCACTTCCGTGGCCGCCTTATCACGTTGGCCACATCGGCACCACATCATCGGATAAGAATGACCAAGACATGGAGATCGTCATACAGATAAAGAGGACAGCTCCATCGGGGATTAGGTCTAATCCCGAAGACCTCGGCGGACAACCTCATCCCAACAACCCTAGAAGCCTCATTCAAATCGGACACGGATCTTCGGCTATAAGTAGGTAATCCTCGCTCTAGGTAAGAGACTTTTGACTTCCTGCATCCATATTGTTACTCTACTCGGACCAACAATGTTCTCTCAACTGTTTGGCCCAACCACCCATTCTCTTCACTAACTTGAGCATGGAAGTACCTACTCAGAGAATAACTCCTTGGGCCTCTGACCACTTTCTTGGTTTCAGATATTGGAGCTCAACTTCGTCCTTTCACCTTGACTCGGCCTAGTTGGCAAGACTATTTGATTACGACCTCGGTTCAAGCAACGCCTCAGATCGAGTAGCATCAGAAACATTTTTGAATCAAATAAGAACATGGGTAAGAGACTTAGTGGAGAGGGAAAATGTTACAAACATTTAAAGTTGGTCTTAACCCAATCCATCTGATTTATACCTTTGCTTTATCAAAGAGGGCCAATAGGGTTTCAACGATTAAGAGAAAATAAGGGAGGGAGATGGTACAAGCATTTATTATTAGGTAGGATGAGAGAGAGGGAGAGAAAGAGAGAGAGACATTATTATAAAATGTAATGATAGTTGTTAATAGAAAATAGAAAAATTAAGAAAGAAGGTGGTTTTTATTGCCACTTCTTATATTTTTAATAATTTGATTTATAAATGAATAACCACATGTTAAAAATGAGAGGAGGTCATGAGGAGTTTGGATCTATTCCTCACAAAAAATGCCTTACAGCTCGTTTCAGTCATGCATATTATGGAACATCTTTGAAATTGTAAATTTTTATTCATGGGGAGATGTTCTCGATGCACGACTGGAACAAACTATGAGGTCAATGTGAGGTGTGCTCTATGAGGAGCAAATCTGAACACGGTCAATGAGAGGGATTCAGAAAACATGCATTTTTTCTGTGTAAGACTTCTAATTATCATTATGTGTGTGTGTGAGAGACTTCTAATTATCATTATCATGCAGTTAGGAGGATTTAACTTTCTTGTTCAGATGTATTATGAATATAAGATGAAGGACAAGAATACCTCAAGATTTGCTCCATACTTCCTGTGGTTCTCTATAGAATCTTGACCCCCAAAAAATGCATATTTATTTACCTGTAGATGTATTGATGGTTCAAGGGATTCAGAAAACATGCATTTTAATCATGCACATTATCCCCCAAAGTAAAGAAAAATGACAAAGGCAAAACAATGAGTGAATCCAGCAGTCTCAATAATGAATCATGCAACAACAAAGCATTTATAATTAGTAAATAATCAATATAAAGCATAAGGATTATGTCAGATTCTCTCTAAATTGCATCATAGTATTGGTGCTATCATATATTGAGTATTGATAAAGGATAGGGGAAGGCTTTGCTTGTTTGCAAGGTCATAGAATCAATCAGTTCATGAAAGGAGAGTGCTTTCATAATTTGAAATCATACAACAGCTTTTGTATCTTTTCTTTACTGCTGCACTCTTTTCCAATCTTTTTTTCTTTGGCTTTCCTTCACAGGTGAATGTTTCTCTTGATCATTTTCCTTTCCCAGTCTTTTCTCTATTAAAGAAAAAAAAAAAAAAAGTCACCTGGGAATGTTTTAAATCTTATAAAAAAAAGTATAGCAGTGTTCTAAAATGCACCTCGCCTGAACCCAAGCATAGCATAGCGGCTCCTATTAGAAGGCATGCACCTGGTTGGCCTTACACCTAGGTATGTACCTTTTCTAAACATCCCTTTATTTGTTATTTTTTGTAGAGTCTTATGTGCTTCACACCTAAAGCCGTAGTTCTTATAAACAGGATCTAATCTCAAATAACAAAATTTCCACTACGGAAGAAACAACAATACAACTGGTATTTGATCCCTAATCCTAAAATAGATTGGATTGCAACTAAACAGATTGAAAGATTCACATGCTTGAATTGTTGAATGCATGGCACTTTGGTATGAACTGCATATGTTTCCCTTCACTTCCATATTTTCACTTTGAATATGTTTTATATGTTATGTTTATTTACTTTGAGAAATGGCTTTTTAATTCAGGTTTCTGATAACCTATCCTAGGAGCAACATCTCGTGTCAGAAAAACAAAAAGTGGAGTTTTGTCAGGAAAACAAGTGAATACATGCTGGTATGATGTATTGCTGTGGAAAAGCTAAATATGGTGGTGAAAAAAAAACAAATCTAAGGCACAGTCATTCTGATAGATGGCAAACAACATAATATTTGTCTTTGCACTCTACAGAAAACAAAGTACATCCGAAATTTTACAAACATCCAATAATTCTGGAACAGAGGATCAACATCAGGAATCAATCTCTACTTACAGTCTCAAAGAACTTGATGCCATACTCATCAGCAAGCGCTTGGTCCTAAAAAGGATCTATTGAATAAGTGATTGTCTGATAATGAGCAAGGAATATCCATCTTTCTGCTAAACAGGATCTATTGAACTCATAATTCATTAGATACTTTTTATGAATGTCAATTAAGTATCGTAAGTAAATTGATCCCGGTTTCAATCATTTGATAACCAGAGTTATTCTTTGATAAATGATCACTATGAGTCAAACTCAATAGAATTTGATCAATCCTTTTTTCTGCTGTTAAGGTGGAGAACTGAACCAAGAATTCTCTTTCTTCATCATCAATCGAATATTCGAATCACTGTTCATGACCCAGGATTCTATTTTATCATCAATCCAATCACCGTTCACATTTTTTCTTTTTCTTATCAATGAATAGATACCACCCAAACAACTCCATTTTTTGGAGGGAACCACCCATGACACCCTAAAAAACTAGAGAAAATAAGTCCAGATCTGAGAAGCATAAGAACATCTTAATACTCTGCTCTTCAAAAATAAGTCAATGATTATCCAACCCCTGATTTTAGCACCCACCTGGGAGATTACCACATTCTTCCCCCAAAGACTGCTAGTGGCCCCACAACCGCTCTCTAAATATGGCATATACCTTATAAATGATTTTGAGGTTGCCATAGTAAACAAGATTGAAAGTTAACTGTTTTAATCAAAAAAAGGTTAACAGTCAAAATATAATTGTTGTAAATTGTGGCCCTTGCACAACATTATTTGTTTTTGTACATATCATGCATTGTACACATCAGGATCTGTTCTGAATCTCCACAACAGAAACATTTCACAGGCAAGAAGATGAAAAAGGAAGGTTACTCCCTTATCTGATCACTTACTTGCCGAAACCCTAGAATTAGCCCTGGAGAAAACCTGAAACTGATAACTGCTCTCCCCAGAAGATTCAAAAACACTCCTAATAGTTGTCGGCTTGAAAAGGAAAGTGAAACCTACCCAGAAAAGTCTGAGCACCACTTTCAATCACTAATTTCACCCCATGAATTCTGTCTTCTCTTCTCTGGTACAAACTGCTTGTTTGACATAGGGGGTGTATTCCTCAAAGCTGATGGTAGTGTTTTTTGGGCCTTCGATCAGTAGGCCAGCTGGGGTGGCTGATGCCTCAGAGGCTGAAATTAGAGTGCTATTGACTGGCCTGAGGATTGCAGTTTCTATCCAAGTCAGCAACTCTTGTTGTTGAAGGGGACCCTAAGAATGCCACAGGATAGGTTGCAGTTAAAGACTCTGGTCCTTGGAGATTAGCTTACTAAAGACAAATTCTGTGGAGAAGAAACCACTAACCTAATTAGTATCAATTTTCTTTTCCCAATCGTTTTTGTCATTCCCACCAGGCAAATTAATATATTTACAGGGAATGTGTAAAGCAGGTCCCACAATAAAGGCACTCTTTATATACAGAATGCAGAAGAATACAATGGCAATCCAAAACCAATACATCCCTACTAATTTTGCACTGGCCTCACGTCAATACAATGGCAATCCAAAAATTTTAATCCATTTGTTTTCCTCTCCCCTCATTCTACCTAGCCATCTCTCTCTTCTTGCATGTAAGAATGCACATGCCACTCAACTAGTTAGTTATCAATAAACCACCAAGTGGGGATATAGTAAACTTTCTAGTAGTGTGACCTATGAACCTCCAGATCCGACTTGCACCATGTGGGATTCTTGTGACCTATGAGTTATGCATATACATACATACCTACGTACATGCATACATACATGCACCATATGTACATACATATATAAATCATACCCACATATTTGAATTGTGCAAACATTATGAGAAGATCTTTTACTTAAGAAAGGAAATAGCAGTTCACATGACTGTAAGACATGGGAAATCCTGATCAATAAGCATATACACTGGTCAACAAATCGATCTATACACAGAAACATCAACATCACCATCATTGTTTCGATCGGTTGAGTGGTGACATGGAGGAGCACCAACCTGGCAAAGTTCTTGATGATGAAGCCAGAGAAATCGGCAATAACTGTACAGTTCTTGATATATCCCAGACGTACAGAATCATCTATTTATTATGAATATATTACTTCATGGTTCAAAATATCGATACGCCCGACCATGAGATATACACGCATACTTGAATTGTGCAAACTGCCAACATTAAGAAGATCTTTTAATAAAATAAATATCCAAAGAAAAGAAATAGCAATTCACAAGACTGAAAATACTTCCACCAAAGTCATTGTTAAACCTAAATGATTTCTACTAGTTCCCAAATTAAGACATCATCTTTCTAGATATCAACTTCTCTGATGTAAATACTGATCAATAATATACACAACAAATCATCTACACACAGAAACATCATCTTCGCCTGCCATGGAATTGTTGTTGTGGCTCTGGAGGAACACCACCATTGTTTTGGTTGGGTGGTGGCAAAGGAGGAGCATCAGCCTGGCTTGGCTGGAGTACCGGTGGCAATGGAGGAACACCCACATGGTTTTCACTCAGTAGTTCCACCAGAGGATCACCCACAAAGTTTTGATTGGATGGTTGCAGTGGCAACAGGGGAACATCAACAAAGTTGTAATTCAATGGTGACGGAGAAGCATCAATGCGCCTCCGTCTGAGTGGTGGCATTGGTGGAACGGTTGAATCGTCACCCTGGTCTGTTTTGAGCTCTGGTTGTACAAATGAAGCTTCAGCAATAAACGGAGACAACGTATCATGCATGAAATCACTTAACTGCCGAAAGAGATCGTTACAGCTTCCCTGCACTGATTTCCAAGGACTATCTGCACCATTAGTGTGCAGATTCGAGTTGGAGTTCCAGTAGTCTAAATCCAGTTCAGCAGATCCATGAAGTAACCCCATATTTGTGAACCTCTGGTCGTTGTTAGGAAAGTTCTGCCGGTACTCTAAATTGCTATGCTGCAGAGGTTGATCTGGTATACCTTCGTTAGTGTAAAAGTTTTGCTCTGCATCTTCCTTATGCATGCTAATATATTCATCATAAAATGATGATTGTGTGTATGGGATATCAAGATCACAGTAGTTATTGCTGATTTCTCTGGCTTCACCATCAACCTTGGCCTTCTCTGGATCTCCCGCCACCCGAGTCGTTGCCGATTTCTCTGGCTTTTTATAAATCTTGCAGAGAACAAAGTCGTCCAACTGCATCAAAAACGAAAAGAAAAAGATTAGGTTTAAAAGAAAAAGAAAGATTAATTCAGTATTTAAAACGAAAGAGTATGCTCAAAATTAAAGATGAAACTCGATAAGAAAGACATAAAAGAAAAGTTAGAAAACTTGCTCAGGTATCTAAATGAACAAAATAAAATTAACGAATAATACAAGAGAACCGGTGCAAGAAAAGAATAAGAGAGTCGGATCAGATATTAAGCCTGGATGAGGAAAAGATAAGAAGAAGGCTGGAAAACTTGCACAAAGCAAACTGAAATGAACAACTGATTAAAACTAATAAAAAGAATGATAAAAAACCATACTCTCATGTCATGGCGTTTTTCCTTAGGACGAGGATTAATGTATTCAGCGATCCTATACTCGTGCATAATCCAATTAGTCTTTTCACCCTTCGGAGGCTTCCCCTTGTAGAATACCAATGCCTTCTTATATCCGACATGCACACCGTTGCTGTATATCGATTTATCAGCTCCGGTGGCCTTCCAATACCCATCTCCGGCAGATCGGTTCGGCCGAGATCCATTCCGGTACTTCCGATCTCTATGGGTAAAGAAATACCATTCCTTCTGCCTCACATACGGTTTATGTTTCTCTGTATATCAATGGATACATTAAATACACAGCAGAGAGAAAGAAGAAGAAATCAAGAAAGAAAAAAAAAAGATTACATCCACCACCACCCATATCGAGAAGAAGCAAACCTGTTAGTGCTTGTGGACTGTAATCGTAAAGAGAAACCACTTCAATCTTGTTCGCAGGCAACCGTTCTTCTAAAAGCATCTTCTGCAAGTAAAAAACGACGAGTTCCTCGTCGCTTGGAGTGAATCTGAAGCCAGGTGGAATGTCGGAGAAATCAACGTCACCTCTGGAGTCGCTGGTCTTACTCGGACTCTTCACCGAAGTTGGACTGCTGCTACTAACGTCCTCCATGGTTTTAGGTGGGTAGAGATTTTTACGAAACTAAACTCTTCTATTTATATCAAAATTTCAAACCTAACAATTTTCACTCTAACTAGAATCTAATTGGTTTTCTAATTGTAATACAAATCTTTAATCTTATCTTTCCGTCTAGTAGATATAACATTTACAACCCAGTGAACCAATAGGATCTCAGCACGTGGGGTCTTGTTCGAGACTGATCCGACCCGTGACAGTTATTATGCGGGACAAATTCAAAATCATAGACCAGAACCATCCCGATAAAATAATCAGTATTTCTACAATTATTTAAATAAACTAGCAGGGAAATTTTGAAAATTTTAATACTTTTATTTTCATTTAATGTTGATTTATAAAAAATAATTATTATTAATTGAATATGAATAAATATTTTTTAATAAATTTAGTTTTATTAATAATTCATAACAATTTTAATAATTTTTATTCTTTTTATTATTTTTATGAAATTTTGATTAACTTTAAATAAATAAAAATAATTATAGAAGATAACATTTTTATTAATTTCACTAATAATTAATAATTATATAGGAATGACAACGAGGTGGGTTCAGGGCAGGGCACCCCATCCCTTTACCTGCCCCATAGTCAAAGACACTCTACCCCATCCCTAGTGTCATGCGGGTTCAGGGCAAGGTAATCACTCCTCAATGCTAGGTGAGTTCATGGATAAGTTACCACACTCCTCATCAAGGATGGAAAATCCTCGAATTTCCCTACCCCGTCCCCAATATTGGGCAGGTTCCAGTAGAGGTGTAAATTGGGTCATGCTGGGTTGACACAACACGACCCGCATGTGGCCCACAAAAAGTGCGAGTCGTGTCGTGCTGGCCCACGAGGTGTCCCGGGCCATGCCTCCCTCCTCTAGAATAATTTGGGGTGTCTGTTCAGCACAACCCACGACCCGAACCCGTACGGGCCCATGTCGTGCCATGGGTCAGGCTGGTCAATGGGTTGGGCCTTGGGCTAGGCCATGCCACACATCAAGCCAAACTCAAGGCAAGTTACCCACTCCTCGTCCAAGGTTTTTAAAATTGGACTGGATAGGGAACCGTTATGGGGTCGAACGGTCTGACTATTCGGTCTGAACGTATGATCCGCTCTAACAAAAAAATAAAAAATTAGAAAAACAAAAAAAAGGCCAAAAACCGTTGTTCAAGTTGATGATTCGATCGCCTAGGTCAGCGGTTCACTAACCAAATAAACGATTTTTGGACAAAAAACTGTTTTGAGGTGAAATGGTGTCCGGTTCCCAATTTTTCCGATCTAACCATATGTTTTGATCCAATTTTGAAAACACTGCCCCTATCAACCCAATATTCAATTTGATGATAGAAATGATCAAAAGAATATATTGAGTATCAACCACATGGTAAATTTCTAAAAAGTACACTAAATTGTCTTTAATATTCAAAAATGTAATTTTATGAAATTTTTGGAAAAATTATTGTAATTGTGTAATTTTGAAAATTTATTCAAATTTATTTAAATTTTTATTAAATCATTTATTTTCTTTTTAAATGGTTTACTTACAGAATTATACTAATTTATCTTATAATTTCTAATATAAACTAACCAAYRATTTCYTTKTTCCAATATTATWCTAWWTTATCTTAATAATTTGTGTAATTATTTGTTCAAATTATAGTTTTCCATTTCCCAGTCATTTATCTTTAATAAATTTCAATAATTTGCAATGAAAATTACACAAATTTCAATATTTTTACAAAATCTATCAAATGTAATAAATTATCCTAAAATTTCCAAAATATTCTAATAAACTTCAATAATTATTTAATACATTTTAAATAAACTTTCAAATACTTTATATCTTTTAATTTCAAAAATGTTATCTTATGAAAATGTAGTTTTATGAAAATTTTTGAAAAACATATTACAGTATAACTATGGGGATTTATTGAATTTTTTTTAATTGTTATTAAATATATATTTTTATTTGGTAGTTTACTAACAAAATTACACTAATTTATCTTTTATTTTTCAATACAAATTAATTTATAATTTCATTTTCTATCATTATAATATTTTGTTCCCCCATTTGTATTTGGTTATTAATTATAATATTAACAATAACTAAAATTTTATACTTTTCGATAATTGTTAATTATAGTATATATAATATATAATGAATATACACTATTATTGTAAAATCATTACTAATAAATATAATTTTGTTGATAGTTATTTTTTATAATTATTAATTGATAAAAGTGAAATCAGTTATTTACAATATTATTTAGTTATTGAAATAATATTGTTATTTAAATTCTTAAAATATTAATTATTTATTAAATTTAATAATCCATAAAATTATAATTGTACTGTTATTACATAATTCGTTATTAAGTTTGTAAAATATTAAATTATTATTAATATGAATATTATGAATTCTATTATAATTACTTTTCTACTTTTAATTTTTTTTTAATTTATTACATAATTTCGTTATTTTAACTATTTAAAATTTTGTCATGTTATATATTTTGTTATTTAAATATTTAAATAATATGTAAAATATTTAATTTTTTATTTGAATTTTATTTATTTTGATGCTATTACGTAATATTAAATATTTTGTTATATTATTTAGCTATTTTTAATGTTTTTATTTAAGATTTTTAGTTATTGAAATATTTAAATAATGTTTTATTTTTTAATGTTAAATTTTTATTATTTGAATAAAATTTAAATAGAATAATTCAAAAAATTATAATTTATATTATTACTACATAATTTCATTATGAATTTTATAAGAATATTGAATTATTAATAATATGGGTATTATTAAATCTATTAATGTTTTGTGTTTTGAATAAATATTTTAAATTTAGTATATAATTTGGTTATAACATTTAAATAGTTCTAAATTTTTTAATTGAAACTTTTCTTTAGATAGATATAGATAAATAGTGGGAGAGAGGATAAATAGGAATTAGAGATAGTTTAGGAGATAATCTCTGTACTAAATTAGAGATAATTTAAGAGATAAATAAGAGTTAGAGACAATTTAGGAGGAAGTGGAGAAAAGTGGTGCCACTTGGCTAAACATTAGAAAATCAAATCCTTCCTTCTTTATGGTTGTTAGAAATAGTTAAGCATATGTGATTTTCTTATTGGTTTAATGGGTAATTATGTAGAATTAAAAAAATAAAAAAATTTAAAAAAACAGAAAATTATGAAGGGGTTTGAAGCAAGTGGATAGACCAATATATAGATAGATAGATAGATAGATAGATAGATAGATAGATAGATAGATAGTTAGATAGATAGATAGATAGAATGATAGATAGATAGATAGATTGATAACTAGCTAGCTAGATAGATAGATAGATAGATAGATAGATAGATAGATAGATAGATAGATAGATAGATAATCTATAATACAATTTTAATAAATATGAAAATAAAATAATAAATTATTTATACATTAACAAATCAAGTGTTTTTAATCAATTGTCGTATAGTACCTCTCAAATTTATAGTTTTATACATAAAATACAAAGAAAGCTAGGAAACCTTTTACATATTATCAATAAAATAATTGATTTGGAACAAGAAAAATTATAACCGATCCAATTTTTATTAGAACAAAATTATAGAACTAGAACCGCAATTAATCTGAATCTGTCACGTAGAATTGACCCATTGACTGCCCGAAGAGACCCACTCTAAATTTTGTCCTTTTTTATTTTTTCCCTTGTTTTCTCTAACAAGTAACAACATGAAAGCCCTTCACGAGCATCTCCCATTCATACACGTTATATATTTAATTAACTTAAATAAAATGGTAATATTACAAAGACCCCCTTAACTTTTATGTTGTAACAAATAACCCCTTGGCCATTAAGTCAGATAACGGAAAGTGTTAAATTACTAAAATACTCTAATAAGCTTTATCTATCATCTTTTTCTTACCATTTCTCTTAAAACTTAACCAATCTCAAAATACCTCACTTCTCATCGGCACTACAAGAAAAACGGTCTGTATCGGCAGTTTAGAGCCGATGGTCTTAATGACCAATGGATTTTACAATGGACCGGATTTAAACCGGTTTAATGATACAACAGATCCGTATAGGAAAAATGCGGGGAGGGTTACAACAATACTCACCATTGTTCATGAGTATTGCATAGGGACAACCATTGTTCGTGTAAAAGTTGGGAAGGAAATCTAGGGTTAGGATTACAACAATACTCACCATCTCTGAATTATTGATAGCACACTCACCTAAAAAGATACTCACCATGGTGAGTATTGTTGTTTGATTAAGCTTTTTACTTGTACCAGTATGTAGTCCTTGAATGGTCCCACCTAAACTGTAAGTAATTCAATGAGCTAGTTGAACTGTTAACCAGATGATTGGACTATTCAACCCATGACCTATCTATCTAGTTTGAATACGATAGAATTGGTTTAGTCCATAAACATTTTTCATAATAATATGAACCAAATCATGGTAGACGAGTAGGAGATTCCTAGGTGGTAGTGGGTTGGTTCATAAATGGTAGTATGAGACCTTTGCAATACTAGTAAACTATTTGTGAAGGGAGGAAACAAGCAAGGAAGTTGGACATGACATTCTATATGAGTAGTGTTACCATTTGATTTTTGCTTGGTTCGTTGCCTGAACCTACAATTTACCTCAAATACCCAATCAAACCCATTCAATCTTTCTGAAACATCCAAAACCCAAAAAAAAAAAAACAACTTTTAGCCCAAAAGTCTTCAGATCCACCGTTAAACCTACCCGATACCTATCGGATGGCCTCGATCAACCCCTCTTACACTTCAACCATTAGATTAGACACAACCATCGGACCGAAGACCTCCCAAAACACCTACCAAATTTTAGCTCAAGATTCCTCCATTTACCCTTTCATCAAGCAAAGATTCCATTTCATCCAATCACATTAACCTAAACACTCAAAACCAAGATTCCCTTGATCTTGAT